CGACCGGTTTTATCCATCTCAGGGGTCGACCATTTTGCCACTTGCGTTCGACTGAAAATGACATCACAGTGCCCAAGGGCTCAGTAGCTTGCGAACGTCACATGACCAAACCCAAGGTGACAGTCGTTACCTGAGCTCGTCGGCATTGCGATGTCATTTTCAGTCGACAGCAAGTGGGTGTGCAAGCCAAAATGGCCGCCCGAAATTACATTTGCGTGGCCAGCAGTTTGGTCAAAAGTGCCGTGATGCTTTCGAACTCCAATTCAAATTCAAAAATCTGAAATTTAAATGTGAAGTAGTATTCACCGTTCTGACCATTTCCTTTTTCGTTTCCTAACAGCCACTGTTCTGCCACGGCAGTGTTGGCGCAAACTCAGCATTTATACTTTGCCATGTACGGCAATCAGGGGGAAAAATTTAATACAATGCATCCTGATTTATACGAAAATGTTTTGGTGATGACGATGAAGAAACCCTTCATCAACAAATACCCTTAAAATTTGAAACTATTAGCAACAGTAACGCTGAATAAGGAATGAACCCAAACCTGCCCGTGCGATAAAAGCAGAAACAATGAGCCGGCCTCGAAGGAAACCGTTGACAACCCCTTTGTCCAACCACGCCGAGCAGGTGCACCAGCTTTATCCCCACACTGTTATGGTGAATGAACACAGCAGGTGAGTGCCGCACAGACAAGGCAGGACAACGGCACAAAGAGGTTGGAAGAAAAAAAAAACGAGGAGGACAATGAACAAAGAGATTTGTGTGACGGATGCTCAGCATACCATCAATCCTCTCCCATACACACGCAGTCATGCAAAAACAGAGAAGAAGTTGCACAAGTTAAGACCTGCTGGGAGTGGGTGTGAAGAAGCCGCTCGAGCATCGGGCGTGGGAGAACACACAGCAATGACTCTCAGGATGCTTTTGGAAAATGACACAACCACCACAGCCAAGAAGACGGCCAGTTCAATAAAGAGGGAAACGCCGCACGGCTTGAAACATTCCGACCTGCTTCAGTCACCTTCAATGATGAAGAGTGTCCTTTTGAATTGGATGAGCCCGACCTGATGCATGCGAGCATCATTTTATGGTTCCAACATGTTGAAACAGGATTTGAGAAATCCGAATGCACATCTTGGATCAAGTAATGGCGGAATGAATTTAATTCAAGCCAGCTGAATAGTCAATCCAGCAGAGGTCATACACAGCAGACAAAAAAAAAAAAGAAAAGCCCCGAACTGTTGGGACGATCTCATACCAATAGGAACAGCACAGTGAACGCGGCGTTTCACCAATGATTTGCTTGCCTCCTTTTGAGACGATCAATTTGCCACTTCAAAATTGAACCATGGGAAACTGTGAAAAACATGCCACATTGAAGGCATCATTCGGAATGAGACACACGTGACGTTCTCCTGAATTTACTTCTCAGCATGTGGATGTTGGACACGCTCATGTTTAATTACCGAGGGGTCTGTGGGGGGGCTAAATTTTAAATTTGCATGAGATCCAAACCGGGCCACTACAGTCAAGTGGAGACTGTGGAGAATAATCGCGCAGTGTCCAGAAATAAGGCACAGCAAAAGGAAAAACTAACGTGACAGATTGGGAACGACTGATACGGATGACTATTTTAGGCTGATGCCAATTCAGAGATGACAGAATAAAATTCTAAAAGCCGATTCATTAGCCAATTAATTAAAAAAATTAAAGTAAATTGAGGTCTTTATTTTTGGTCATTAAAGGGGAAGTCAATTTTTTTTAACAATCTTCACAGTAATATGTTCTATGCACTCCTATTTGTATAAAGACAATATTCAGATTCATAGCAGATGAATTTAGCATTAAAATCCACCCGTTATCATTCACATCACGGGGCGGCCATTTTGCCACTTGATGTCAACTGAAAATGACATCACACTGCCAAATGGCTCAGCTTGCGAACATCACATGGCCAAACCCAGAAATCAGGTGAGCTGTGATTGGTCGTTACTTGAGCTGTACATACCCCACAGATACGGTTTGGTGACTTATCCTTAAAACTTTTTTTTTTTTTTTTTTTAATGAAATCTTATGTGCAGTTTTGATAGGCTGTGACATCTGTGATGCTGTTCACAAGAGATTCAAATTTTGAATCAGAGCAAAACCAGCGGTTGACTGGCAGCCACTCGTCAAACACAGGTACGGTTTGGTGACTTATGCTTAAAACTTTTTATTTATGTTTTTTTTAACGAAATCTTATGTGCAGTTTTGATAGGCTGTGACATCTGTGACACTGTTCACAAGAGATTAAAATTTTGAATTACAGCAAAACCAGCGGTTGACTGGCAGCCACTCGTCAAAACTAGTTGCCCAACACTGCATGATGGGTCAGTTGGTTTCTGCCGCGTTGCTCCGTGTACGGCAGGCCGCAGGTTCCAGCTCCCTGCAACCTCCAATCGGATGGATGGATGTTTGAGGCACACGGTTATCCAGAGTCAGAGCATTGAGTTGCAACTGCACATTGTTGTCTCGCCACAACGTATCCATTACAAGTTGGGTGTAAACGACAGAGCAGCCATCATAATGACCAACGTTACATCATGACCTCATTTTTAACCAACACGGCATTCTGTTCTGTGTGTCATGGCGGAATTTTCCAAACAGCAGTCAGCATGGGAATATGGGAGAGTTTCATAGGGTGTTGCTCAAACACGTGCTCTTTCTCTGCCTCTTCGTTTGACCTTTCGTCCTCGCCATCCAGCAGAGTCTGCCGTGAGCTCGCTCACTCACTCACTTCTCGGATTGAGGTCGTCATCTGTTAAACTAAACTGAAGGGAAGCAACACATCGGCGACAGACGCTGACACCATGAAACTACTGGTACTTGTTCCTGCTGATTTGCATGAGACGCTTGCAAGCCAGGCAGGCACGTGGATGAAGTGCAGCCACCACGGCCCTCGCCCTCCCCCATTGGGTAGAAAAGGGGCCAAACATCTGGATGTATGCCCGGGAAACATGCTCTGTTCCCCGCAGAGGGCATTCTCACCTCCCTGCTGATTGCTTGGCCAGCCAGGACACATATGCAGCTGCAAGGACAACCACAATTCGCTCATGCTGAGGCACGAAAGGCCTTTTTCTCCCTCTCGCAGTCTCACACACACACGCTGTCTCACGAAGGCCACATAAATGAATGATCTCAACAAGACCTATCAATTAAGTCACTACATCGGCACCCTCGCTTATAGCAAATGGCTCCCGACTGGACTACGCATTGCATGTACATATGTCCCTTCTTTTTTCATACTGAACCAATGTTGCAATACACATTCGTAAATTACACACATACGGCATGCATTTTTAGTCAAGACCAGCATTCCCCTTTCTTTGAATGACATTTAGGAATGTATGATTTATCCACCCTGTTGATGCAAGCCAAGTCCAATCGGTTCTCGTCAGAAGGGGAAAAAAATCATGTGTAAAAGAAGGCGTGCCGTTTAGCGCAGCAGACGTACCTGAACCGGGGCGAATCCTTGATGCATTCTTCAAAGTCCACCGTCATTTTTGCGTCTTTGTCGAGTATTCCCACCTCAGTGCGCCAGTGTCATCGCCCGCGGCGGCTTGTCGCAGTGAACCGAGGGGATGGACGGTAGCTGGTCGTGTCCCTGACGCGCGGCAGTTCTTTCGGAGCCTCTTCCCGGTGGCAGCGTGACACCAAAAAGACAAGCCGAGTGCGCGATGACTAAATTACTACAACCAGAGAGGAGGAGGAGGAAGGCTGGAGGAAGGGAGGAGTGACCGTTGGAAAATCAAGTGGGAAGAGGAGAGCGCCGACTAGCGCTGAGATGCAGGAACTGCTCTCGACGAAGGCAACTCGAGTCGATGGGATCATTTCAGATTCTCAAAGGTTGCTTTGAATACTGCTAGTGGTAATCGAAAGAATCACTGAATTAAAAATACAAATAAGAATTCTAAATATTCAAAAGATCATCGTTTGTAGAAGTGGAAAAAGTGACAAGCCTATGGTGACAAAGGAGTGGATACATCTGCAGCACGATCGCGACCCTTGTGAGCATAAAAGGATTAGAAAATGTATGGATGAAGTAGGTATCTATTTTCAACTTGTGGAAGTAAACGAAAAAAGTTGTCAGAAAAATAAGTATCAAGTAAAGTACAGATACCATGTTGCGATATGATGAAAAAAATAATTATCAGGGAAAATGTATATTTTACACACTGCTGCATTGATGAGAATGCTTCATTTAATCACAATTTACACGGCAGCGCAAACACAATCCACATTAATGTGTATTCCCTACTTAAATAGGACAAATTGGATAATCTCCGACATGGAGGCTTGTAGGTCAGTAACATTATTATTTAGTCCGTAAAAGTATAGGTAGTATAGTAAAGGTCCTAAAACGTTTCCACAACTTTAACGTGGCTCTTCGTGATTGTTTATTGAAAATGTTTTTGCTCATCGCTTTTCATTGGAACAGAACCACAGAGGACAGAACGCAAGATTTGGCGACGCATGATGGCGTAATCAAAAAGCGACACCATGCAAAACAGAGAACGTCCTCCAGAAGGTCTTTAAAATGGTGGAAGCGGGGATCGATGTGGAACCATTGTATTATTATTATTATGATGATGATGATGATTCTAATTATTTTTGCGCTTTAGCAGATCAAATGTCGATAAAGGAGTCGTGGCTGGGTGCTTAAGCCTTTACTTCCGGACTACAAATCCGACTGTACCTACACGCGGGTGCAACTCGGAGCATGTCGATCGGTATTTTCTAACTCTCACACAAGCGCGACGTTTATCGACTGTACCTACACGCGGGTGCAACTCGGAGCATGTCGATCGGTATTTTCTAACTCTCACACAAGCGCGACGTTTATCGACTGTACCTACACGCGGGTGCAACTCGGAGCATGTCGATCGGTATTTTCTAACTCTCACACAAGCGCGACGTTTATCAGTTCGCGGGTTTTCAACGCCTTTTTCGCAAAAGTGTCCCCCCATACAATTTACACATGAGACACTGTTAATATGCACAACAAAAGAGACCGAAAGAGGTCATGTACAACCAGCAACGTTACCTTATCTTTTTCCAATACATTGGAACAAAATACAGGTAGGTCATTCTTCACGTACACATTATGTATTTACCATAACAATCAGAACAAACTGTTTGTGTTTTGTACAGTGGCGCAGTCAAAGTACCTCCACATCAACTGGAGAAAAAGGGTGTCCAAGATCACTTAGAGGTAACGAAGTCGACGCAATTCATGCCTACCCAGTAATATTAAAACATATTTGTGAAGAAAATTGAAAAACAAAGCTGCATTGTAATTGGGAGTAACCAATTATACCCTGGTTTGCGCAGAATCTATTTATCTGACAATAAGTTGGGAGCAACCCGTTCATTGTCAGTTAACTGAAAACTCTAAATTGTCCGTGTGAATGATTCTTTGTATTCTATGTAAAGTGTTTAGGCGCTTAGTGTATGTTTAAGGTAGAAAAACAGCTGTGAAACGTCATTTATTGTGTGTCCACCGCCTCTCAGAAGGCTTAGCAATGCTGTTTGATTTATATTGAACATTTCATACACAAGGCACAATGTGGGTCACAAGTCAGCTGGGACTGATCCCATCTTGCATCAGAACTCAATGATGTGTACAAATCGGATGGCTGGATCTTAAAGTTGAGGTCTTATTTTATATTGTCTACTTTCTTTTTTTCCTCCTGTGGCTCCATGCAGGATGCATTAAGAAGACTGAGGCCACTCAACCCAGTGTCTTTGTCCATTTCCAGCAGGACAGACAGAGGCGTCCACGCTCTCTCCAACTCAGCCCACTTTGATTTCCAGCGCAAGAACGACAAGCCACCGTTTACTGAGGAGATTTTAGTTGAGGCGCTCAATTTCCACCTCAAGGCTGAGCAAATTAGGTACGTTAATTCAATGTTTGGCGGAACTAATCTAATAGTATAGTATTCCAAGCTTTATTGAGCCGAGGGACCTGTTTTAGATTGGAAAAAAAGATTACCAAAGTAAAATGATCTTCTGTCATCTAATGGAAAAGCATATAACTGTTCCGCTTGTCGCTATATGTCACTGGCATAAATAGATGAACAAAGATATATTTGTGATTAATAAGTAATAATTTTCAGTCGTACAATTGGATCATTTCCCACGGCACCCCTCATGATCGCTCCCAACATATGAGTGTATATAGTGTCATGGCCGTGGCAGTGGGATGACGTCGAGCTTCAAATGGATTGCAGAACAGACAGAGAGGTGAGAGTGTGAAGGAGAATGAGCCATTTGGGAAAGAGACAGGGGAGAGACGTAGGAAGGAAGGAGGCAAGCTCCCAGCATCCCACTTGCATCCCACTAATCCTCCAACCTGCAAAGAAAGGTTAGAAGGGATTATCTCGGCTCCGCTTTTTGCTCTGTAGTATGCAATAGCACACATGTATGCACCTGCCTCGACCAGTTAGAATTTAATTCCCAAGTTTGGGACCCAAAACAGGTCCTGGGTGAGTTTTTATTGGGTCCCCTATTGACACGTCAGTAAAAAGACTGCAAGTTATTTTATTGATTGTAAAGTCGAAACACAGTTACAGTACTTGGCAAACAGCTTTTTTCATCAGGTTTTGTTCTAATAACATGATGTCTGTTCTACATCATTCAATCGGCGCTCGATATGACAATGTTGTAGAACTGGATGACGTGTCTCAGTCACTTAGAATGGCGGGGAGAACCTGAAATTCTAATGGGTCTGGAGTTAGGAAAAAAAAGTGAAACCCTAGTTTAGATACAACATGTATTATTTACAATAAATGAAATATACTGTGCCACAAAAACACTCGCAGGAATCACACATGGGCCCTCGCATTTTCGATACGGGAAGAAAAAAAATAGAGAAAACAATCTTCGTGTATAATAGAAGTAATTGAGTGCGTGTGTTGTGGTGTTTTAATGTGCTTGCGTGTGTTTGTTTGTGCAAGTGGCAAATGCTTCACATTTCAGCAGGTGCTATATTAGAAGACGTAAAGCTTTCCTGTCCCACGTGTCGCATCCAATCCCCTCCCTCGTAACCTAGTTTCTCTTCTCGTGCACATGCTCGCATACACAGAGGCACAGAGATCTATAATGTAAGTCGGTGAACGGAACTCAGCCCGTACGTGCATGCATGATGCATAGTGTTGAACATCATCGTTCTCCACCATGCCACCCGCAGATGGTCACCTCCTGCTTCCACTTGCATGAGGATGCTAACCAACAATAGCCTGTATTAGTGAGTGTTGCGGCGTCATCACTTAGCTGAGTGTCGAAGTGTTCATCTACAAAAAATTGGGAGGGGGGGGTGGTGTACGAGAAATAGCAATTCACCCATAAAGTGCATGTGTGCATATATTGCATATCATTTCATATCATGGCAATATCTTGATCACATGATCCGTTAGTGCTTGGGTTCAATGCCGTTTTCGCCGCAACGTTGCTTGTTTGTCCACTTTTCCTGGAACAAATGTTTTGGAACCGGCATTTATTGTGTCTGACAAAGGTTGTTTGTTAACCACCTGCGGTGCTATAAAAATCAAGTAAAAATTGGAGATTAGTTACAAAATATATTTTTATGCACAAGATAACACGAATGCTTTCTCTTAGCGGTTATAAAATTAAGCAGAACATTTATGAATAATGAATGAGAATAAGAACTAAGATTGCTTCATAGAGGAGTGGCTGAAGACTGCAGAGAGTACTAAGTGGCCATTAGGGGGGAGGGCATGTATTAGGGTGAGGCTTTTAATTAAAAAAGTGTTGTTGTTTTTCAACATTATAATGTGCATTGTAATGAATACAACACTGCAGCACATACCGTACATTTACGGCCTTTGTCCTTCACCGAATGTTGAAATGTTGTGAAAACTGTCAAAAACGGAAAACGATCGGGTTTCGTTTTCCGTTTTTGACAGCTGATCAACGAAGCAGCTCATTAAGATTTGAGAAGAAGAAAAATGCATCACCCACATCTAACAAGGATTTCCCGATGTGGCTTCTAAATTTTGGTGGTTCGCCATTGCGCATCGTATGAATTCAAAGCAGATGTCCCGACAGGAAATGGCGCCGACCTTAATTACATCGAAATACCTCACACAGACTGATTCATTGTTTCCCACCACTTGATGAGAAATCAAAAGAGACAGTGGTTGAAATGTCACACGCAGGAAGTATACCGTGTCCCCCTGCTGGATGCACATCAGAGCGCGCCTCATCCAGAACGAATGCTCAATATTTTGAGCGGAAGCGCTTAGTTCCTTTGAGCTTTGCGCTTTGACAATGGCTGTGGCTTTTGTGTAAAAGCTGCATCATTGGCATTTTAGACAAAGACCCATACGCAGTGTATATGGCTTGCATTAGAAAACCATCTGTTCCAATTTTTTTTTTGAAGGATGCTTTTGATCAGTTGTTGCATTAGCCATGCTCGAGACAGTACTTGAAACAAGAAAATGTTGGTCTGCTCGTCTCTCGCCCCCACAGTGGTGGCCTTTGACCCAGGCTAAAATAGTTGAAGTACTTGATGGATAACTATGTAAACTGAGAAAAATTGCCACCAGAGGATGAATCCTAATCCTAAGAAAACAAAAGAAGCCCACAGATCAGTTGCACCAAATGTATAGTATGGTACAGTCATGGAAAATAAAGAAGTCCACCTCACTGTTCCAATAATTTTGGAGGGGAGTGTATGTAAAGATGTCACGGCTGCATTCGGATCAAATGTCCGAGTGACATACTGGCCAGACCAAAGAGCGCTTTGTTCACATATTGATTTCTAAATGTTTTCCCTTTTGCCAGCGTTACCCGCGCCTATCGTGTGCCTGATGATTTCCACGCCCGTTTCCGAGCACTCTCCCGGACGTATGTCTACCGCATCGCCCTGGGTGTCTCTCAGCCTGCTCAGCTTCCCCTCGGAGAGCGCGACATGTGCTGGAATCTCCGCCACACGTGAGTCAACCGTGTGTGTGCACGTGTGTGTGTGTGTGTGTGCGTGTGTGTGTGTGTGTGTGTGTGTGTGTGTGCGAGTATGATTCCTGTGCATATGGAAACCGGGCTGAAAGCCTGAGCTCAGACTACACACACACACACACACACACACACACACACACACACTCACACACACAAGCCCCCCCTCAATATGCTCCGAACAAGCCTTGCAGAAACAATGGCATGTTAGACACATGAATAATCCACATGTGCTCAGTCGCAACTGCAAATTAGGGCCAGTCAACTCAAGTCAAATGTTTTCTGAGCCGACGTCCCAAAAACAAACAAAGGACAGGCAAGAGATGTGGGAAACGATGGATGTTGAGGCGAGAAAGGGGGGAAGAGAGAAGAATGCTTTTGGAAGAGATTCTCTGCTTACAGGATGTTATCTTGGCTGGAATTGGAAGGAGGAGCATGAAGGAACGCATTTTAGGGAGTACATACTGTATGAGCATTTGTCTTTTTTTTTTTTGGGAGAGGGAGAAAGTAGGCCAAGATAAGCTGCGGGCTCATACGCATGCAGAGCAACACCCACACGTCACCCTCTCTCTCTCCCGATCAGTCTTCCCCTGCTTTGCCTCCCTCCATTCTTTCTTTTGCTCACATTTTCAGCATCCGCCTCATCCTTGCGCCCATAAGCAACCCCGCCCTCCCGCTTGATCGACTCCTTCCTCATCACTCCGCATTGCCCGCCCGCACCTCTACACTACATGGAGGCATCATTGAAGTTGACTAGTTCTGGTTTGAATTGTAACTAAGTGCAGATATATGATTACCTATTTATTATTCATTTAACCGAGAAGAAAATGCAGTTTTGATGTTAAAATATGCCTGTTAGATGCCGACATGGATTTGCTCAGTCTTCACGTCACAGTTGAAAATGTGAGTCAGTGTTTACTCGCACGATGATGTACTTGTCGCCTTTAAGGCGATGTAGCCGTACGAATTCATGTTGGTTCAAACAATCCTTTTAATGTTTACACTTGGTGTCGGATGACCCCCGGTGGAACATGTGAATCGGCTCTGATGCCACGAAGCACTTCCTTTCACATGCTTAGCCAGAGTGTCAATGATGATCACGTTTTCCACCTCCTTCATTTTGGACCAACTCTCATTTTCCAGATTTTAAATGAAGGCGTCATGCTTTTAATTAGCGAGACATTCCCTTCATTCTCCGCTGCCCGCTGTGTTCCGCTCTCTCTTTCTATCGGATCATATTTGAGAGCTCAGCTGACATTAGCTTGTTGGGGGGGAAAGCAGGCGCCACCTCTCTCCCTCTCCCCCCTGATCAACCCTCGCTTTGGCATACTCGATGCGCTCACGTGGCGTTATGACTCAGAAATATGTGCAAGTTCACCAATGAATTATTCCACTGCTATGAATGGAACATGGGAGTCTAAAATGTGTTTCATTTCACACATCTACAAGTGAACCGTTCAAGTTAAATGGTCCTGAAGTTAAGTCATGTACTTATTGAAAAATAAAAAGGGGACGCCTTTGAATATAAATTGGTGGAACAACGTGCCTCTAACCTCACGCCTCAGTTCAGTCAGCATGAAAAGTATTAGCTTTTGGTGCGTTTTTTATTTGTTTGCTGCTCCACTTGTTTCAAAAGAATTCCATTGAACTGTGCCTTTAGTCACACAGTGCGTTTGTTGTCAGGGAGCTCGATGTGGAGGCCATGAGGGAGGCAGCAGCCATGTTGGTCGGAACTCACGACTTCAGCAGCTTCAGGGCAGTTAACTCCGACATGCCTTTTAGAAACCCAGTGAAGACGCTTGATGTCGCCAGCATACAGCCAGGAAGAGCGTTTGTATGTGAGCACTTCCACAGGTAAACAGGATTGAAAGATTTTTTTTTTTTTTAACTATGAAAAGGCAACATAATATGATAAAAGAATAAAAGGCCTGCCCACCCAAGGGGGAAATTATACAACCTAATTAAAGAAGCACTGAAGATATTTATTTGCCTTTACAACTTGGCGGACAAGGCATTTGCAAATGGAATCATTTTAGATGTTTCCATGTGTGTCTTGCAGAGAAATTCCATTCTGGGAGTTGACTTTTCAAAGCAAATCTTTTCTCTACAAGCAGGTATGTTCTATAATGTTCTGCTGCTGGTTTGGCTTCCAAAGAGGTAGAAAGCAGAAAGGCGTGCCGCATTATTTCTTTTTGATTGTGTGCAAAGATCCCTAATCAAGCCACGTTGTTGTTGTTGTTTCAGGTGCGAAGAATGACGGGAGCCCTCGTGGCCGTGGGCCAGGGAAGGATCTCACTTACCAAGCTGAAAGACATCCTGGAGTCTCGAGACTCTCTCGCTTATCCACACAATGTCGTTGCTCCAGCCCGCGGCCTCTTCCTCACCAGGGTGGATTACAGAGAGTCAGGTAAGTGAGGATGGAACAAACAAAACAGTTGAGTCGTTGTGTCACATGTTTTATTTCACTATAATTTCAATGTTTTTTTTTTTCATATAAATCAGGTAGAATTTAATTAATCCTTTATGGGCTTAAACCGTTGGCCAAACAAAAGAATTGTACAGGCAACGTACCCTTTGATGACTTTAAAGAGAGGAAGTCTTGCTGAAGGCAGCTCTGCCTTCATCTCATCGCTTTACAGCATCTGCACCTGTTAGAAGTGTGAAAAGAAGTTAGCTGCACAATAAAACTAAGAAACAAGGGATGGTCTGTACTCACCAGTAACCTTGGCTTGTGCTGTGGCAACCGTGAAGAATAATGTTAGCCTTATCGCCAAAAATAGCTGTGATTTTGTGGAGTCTTGTAACATTTGTTACATTCATTTGTTCCTCAAATTGGTGAAATAAAATGGATATATTTGGAATTATTTTATCCTATTTTAATTGATTGCAAATGAAAAAAATATTAGTCAAATAAACAGACAGATTGCACCTTCTACATTGCAGGAATAACTGCCCAATGAAATACATTTTAAAAAATGAGTTATTAAAATAAACATGGTTCCCTAAAACCAATGTGTCCTTGAGCCCAAATGTTTGCCCGTGCCTGCTCTAGTTGAACCAAGATTTTTGGCAACAACTGTAAACTATCTTGTAGTTATGCTTATCATGACTGCACCATTGTTGCACTTTTTGACCGTATCAGATTGTGAAGATGCACCTTAGCGCCATCTTTTATGTGATGTCGTGTTGACGTTGCTTCTGTTAATTACTAAGCAAGCTCTATTTTGCGTCTTCCATCAGATCTGCTGCCGTCACCGCCAACCTCAACTGGAGACTCGAGTGATGCACAAACTCAAATGTGAACGTCCGTGTATTAAAAATGTTTTATTTAACCCTTTCTAGTTAATACTGGGTCTTTCAAATGACACATTGGACACTGCAAACAGAGGACCACCTACACATTTTTATTCCAACAAATACATAACGGTGTCCGCGAACGCAGCTCAGCTTATCGACCAAACACCAACCCACATTGAGCCTACCTTGTTCTAAGCACGTTACTTTTTACGACTACTTACTGTGTGTACATTAACACAGAGTAGCTTTTTATATCAAACAAGGTTTACAACATGTGGAGTGTAACTGCTGTGTGTGCGTCGAAATAGTGGTAGACCACATAGAAAGTGCACACACGTCCACTATGTATACTGTGCATCCAAATGAAGCCGCATACGCTTTTGTTCGCACAGATGATCCATGTGGATATTTATCACTCAGTTGCAAGCCTTGAATTTGGCTGCACCAAATATATTTTCTGCAAATAGTCCATGACTAAAAGTGTACCACCGCCACCGGTCTTGTCGTGCCAGTGGGGACCAAATGAGGTTTGTTCAAGGTTCAAACTGACCATTCTCTGTGGTTTAATGCCCCAGAGGACTGATCTCAAAAGTTAAAACAGTCACCAAAGGACACACAGCCAATCTTTTTTTTTCCTCTCTCTCAAATGTCGCGACAGTCAAAGTTGAACCTCATGAGGAATGTTTTTTTTTTGCACTTCTCAGAAGTGACATTATCAATAAATCAGTCACACAATTTGTTCCAAAGAGTTTTAAATGTGTACACCCGTCGTCGTATCATGCGACCGTGTTGTAACACAGTAAATCTGATTGGCATAGGTCCTCAAGTCAATTCAGCATTTGGTTTAAGAGTTCAATAGATAAAAATTTCAAGTGTCGTTCAGCATGTTAAGTCCAATATTTTGCATTCTCAATAAAACCATATGTATACATAATGCACTTGAGGAAGGCTTTTGTGTATTTAACTCACGCACAATCATTGAAAACTTTGCAGTTTGTGTGAAGAATAATGAAATGGAGCACAAGTCCAACCATGATTGAGGCGATTGCGAGACAAAATGACATCGGACCTGAACAGTCGAAATCTGGAGAGAAACTTGAGCATCATGTGACAAACGTTTAAAAACAATGACATGTTACAGCTGAGCAGCCTTAATACTCAAAATAAAATTGTGTGAGATGCTCAACTGGGCAGAACCCAGAATAATCTAAAATGTTCATATGTTGAGGACTTAATAGTGTGCCATCTCCATTGGCAGCCGTTTTGGCATTTGGCTCCACACCCTGAAACTAAAGTTGAGGTTCATATGGGATTCATTTCTGTTATGTGAACACAGGTATTCACTAAATTTGCATAGACCCTTAAATCCATCCATCACAGTCATCATCCGAAACGGCGCACTAGCATTCAACAGCAGCACCATACCCAACTTCACCCTTTTTACAGACTGTCAGTGCTGTAATGACCTAAAGAGGATACATTCATCGAACCTGTTCATATATATATATGTATATATATATGAATGAACAGCAGAATCAAATCGGGTTTTCAGAGTCTATCGGTAGTATCATGTGTACAAGGCGAGTTGCTTTTTTTTCAGCATTACAAACTCAAACTTTATTTCATGAAGTAAAAAGAGTAAAATGGGGTATGTTCCACAGACTGAAGTTCATTACGTGTGTGTAAACGTGCAGTGTATGTGGTTTTGCTCTTTTTTTCCCACCCCCAACGGCTTAAAACAAAATACAAACTTAAAAAAGACAGCGTCAAGAAGCGTACAGTCCTTGCAGAGCACAGACAGCAAGTCTGGCTGGCGTCCACTTCATCAGCACGCTCGTCTTTTAGTTGGCGATTTTCTCAATTTCATCCAGGTCGTGTGTGTCTAGTTTTTCAATTTTCTTATCTGGGGAGGTAAAAAAAAAAAAAAAAAAGTTAGTGGGGCTTGTAATAAAAATGCATGGACCTGTGTGGATATTATCCGTGTTATTTTTGCACAGTCTTATTAGTATTGTGCACTGTGATGAACAAAGACGGTCAAAAACAAAAATAACTATAAAAATAAGTCAACTGCCCTTTATTAAAGCCTGGTTCACACGGCAAGATTTTAAAATTGTCAGCTGACTTCCAAACTCTGAGAGACCCCACGTGACGAGAAAGAAAAAAAATAAATCGCAGGTACAACTGTTTCGAACGTTCCGTACCGAAGATTATCTTTGGAGCCTTTATGAGAATTGAGCCTGACCTATGATTGTCAGCAGGGGCGATTCAGGGCTGAAATCGGGCCGATTATCCTCCATGTAAACCATCTTGACAACTGGATCAACAGGCGATACATGACAGAAAGAGTAATAAATACTTACTAAAATGATCCTGGATCCTGTTAAGGATGTTCATACTCATTCTGCTGTCCACCATGTTGATGGCCAACCCTCTTTTACCGAACCGACCCGTGCGGCCAATCCTGTGCAGGTATGTCTCATTGTCTGGGTTACCGTCCTGGTCTACTGGCAGGTCGAAATTGATCACCACTGATACCTGCTCCACATCAATTCCTGGTGTACGGCAAGCACAGACAGAAAACTACTTAAGATCCCATCTCAATTTTGTGACATATGTCCAACTTAAATCCAGATATTTTTGTTTTGCTTGTTCTTTTTTTTTTTTTTAACAGTACAGTGTGAAAGGAGGGTTCCAATATGTTCAATTTGTTTTGCATGTGTGCCTCACCTCTGGCACAGACATTTGTGGTGACAAGGACCTTCTCCTTTCCATCTCGAAAGCGTTCAATGACTGCGGCCCTCTGCTCCACTTGCATCTCCCCACTGAGTAGCGCCACCTGGTGGTTCTCTTTGGAAAGCTCCCCCGCCAGCCAGCCTGCGGTCTTCCTTGTCTGGATCGCACAGAGGAAAGCAGAGTCATCAATTCATATACCAGCCTGACACTTACGGAACAAGACATTTTTTCTTTATGTGGAAAAAGACACTATTTTGCTTAAACTGACTCCACTCTTAATAAGGTTCTTTAAACTCTGCCCAAACTTCATAATGTTTCCAAGGAAAAATATTACACCATTCATAATCTGTATCAATTGGAAAGTTCTTGAGGAAGGGGAGATTCTCACGTGGCAGAAAATCATAGCCTGGGCTATGGTGATGGCACCATAGATGTTGCACAGGGCTTCAAACTTTTCCTCCTTGCTGTTACACAGCACATAGTACTGTTTGATAGTATCCAGCGTCTCCTCCTCTCTTTTTAATTTGATGATATTTGGGTCGGGCACGATGCGCCTGGCAAAGTCCCACACAGTCTCCTCAAACGTGGCTGAGAACAGCAACATCTGGCAGTTTTTGGGCAGCATCCTGCGTGGCAAGGAAACAAATTGAGCATAAGCATCCTTTGAAAAGTAGAGTGAGAACTCAAAATCAAAATGGAGACATAATACAGTTTACACATACATCTTCAGGGTTTGGAACTTTAGAATTCAACTAACTGCACATTTTAAGGTGGGGACATATTCCCTATTATATGCTGAACTCATTCACTAATATTGCTTTGGCACCATCTTGGTGCTCACCAAGAAGAGGACCTTCATTTAGACAGAAAAAAATCTTTGCTGCCATCTTGAGCATCTCCAGGCAATGTCATGTCAATTATTCGCAACAATCCATCACCCTAGCAGGGGTTCACGATAGGCTTTTAAAAGGGGCACAATCAACCCATTACCAATGTTGTTAATTGAAGGCAACGGAGGAATAAACTTACTGATACTTCCATTGCAGAAAGGAAAAAAACAGCTTGTGGCTGTGCAGTAAGCAGGCTCAAGTGTGATATAAAAAGGTGATTGTTTTTTTTTTCTTTTTCTCCTGTTCAAATGGTAAAACAAACTCATTGAAATTCTAAGATTTCACATGACACCACTTCATGATGCTGTAGGTCGAATGAGTTTTTTTAACCATTATTTCAGGAGAACAGGGAGCTTTATTTATTTTTTTAAACATTCACTTTCACCTCTGGATGCGGATACTTTGGTCTTTGTGACCCTGCGTTGCGATCATGACATCAGCCTCATCCAGCACGAACACCCGAATCTTCTCGGGGTCGATGAACTTCAACTTGCTGCACCAGTCCAGCATGGTGCCGGGCGTGCCAATGACGATCTGTTCCTGAAGCTTCACACCTCGTTGCACTGGAACGTTTTGAGGGAAACTTGTCAACACAAAACACGCCAGATATTCAAGATGGCACCCAATATGACATGTAGAGCGGGCAAAGACTCACGCCTATTTCCTCGTATGGCATAAACTAATTTGACTTCAGGGTAGTTTTTGCCCATCTGCTCAATCACTTTGCCGGTCTGAAGCGCCAGTTCATAGGTAGGTGACAAACACAAGCACTGATGGGAGAAGAAAGAAGAGAAGCAAGGGATTTAGACGGCTCATTCAGTGCTGGGACTAAACCCATCTAGAAGACTGCTGATATTAATTTTAAAAAAATAATAATAACCTGGGGATATTTGTTGTCAGGATTGACATGGCTGAGCATGGCGAGGACAAAGGCAGCGGTTTTTCCTGTTCCTGACTGAGACTGGGCAATCAGATTCTGTGGACTAAATGGGGAGGGGGATGGGTGGAAACAGACGGTGTAACACAACCTCAAGTTGCAAGTAGTTAGTTTGTGTCATCAGTGTATACTCTAAAGAACCATACATAGTACACATTTGCCCCCTAAAATTATACCAAATCGGTATTTATTCATCTCTCTCACGCTCTCACTCTCTCTTTCTCATATTAACGGGTGTTCATATGATACAAAACATGTTCATCATGTTTAGACGTGTCACTGTCTTCAAAACAGAAGCGGTGCAAGTGAAGGAGGGAGCTTGACCAAGAGAGTGAAAAAGATGGCAACTTTCAACCATCATGTTTTATTGTGTATCGCATGATTGTTATGGAAGCATTAAAAACCCCTATTTCCACAAATGTAACCAGATGATAACAGCAAATCAGGGTATTGTAGACACGGGTTCAGGGGAAAA